CTAGGATCAAATTCCATTGAGCGCGCCTGATTGCACGAAAGTTTTTATGGCTTATACATAACGTAAAATAGAGCCAGTTTTCCCGAGAAAAGTCACCATGAAGGCATTCCTATGCCTAGGCAGATAGCTTTGCGTGCCTTGCCATATTCGACTAAACCATATTTAACCAAACACCAGTGACAAACCTAATACTTTCCTTCTCCCCCCCCCCCTGAAATGTATGTTTACTTTTATTTTAAAAGCCGAAACTGATAGGTAATTTTTTTCAATTGAACGACTAAGTTTGGGGGTACGCTTATTTAATCGTAAAATATTAAATAAATCACGAATTTCAACAGGAGGTGTCATTTAATTTATCTTAATGATGCATTAAATCCTAACTATACATGTTAAAAATTAAACTGGATATTTAGCAAACTTTTTATCTTTTATTTTATTCAGTATAAAACTTTAAGTAGTGCAGAGACCGGAGGAACGTTAAAAAAGTTATATTTTATATTAAATTAATTTTTTTAATTGAAAAATAGTTGAAACATGAATATTTACGTCATTTGAAACATTTTTGTAAGCGGAAGTACACGTCTACGATAAACGGTTGCGAAAATATGGGTCGGATAAGGATTTTTGGGAATACAGTTGTGTATAGTAACTTCTTATAGTTACGTTTCTCATCTATACGTCCTATATATCAGTGCTCCGCAACCTTTTCTCACCTGCGACGCACAAAAATCTTTCTGGAATTTCGTGGCACACCAAAGAGTTCCGAGTTATCAAGGAAATGCCGAAAAAATTCAAATGCTGACACACTTACAATCACACAATTTACTACACAACAGTGAAATATATAAAAACATTTTAAAATAGACATTATTAAGGAAAAAAATGTCATTGTGTATTAAATACATGATAAAAATTGCAAAATGTCAAATACATGTATTTGATTGCGGCACACCTATATCCTACTCATGGCACACCAGTGTGCCGCGGCACACCGGTTGCGGAGCACTGCTATATATAACCATAGTTTTATCTCTATTCCGGTTCATTTCTGTTCATATTACTAGTAAAATAATCCATTGATACAACGGATAACTTCAGTTGTAAGTACTTTTTTCCCTTCGATAATTTCATCGACGTTTCTTTTCGTAGTTCAAATGATACCTCCAGAAATAATTTCTTTCATTCTGTAGAATTTGGAAGCTGCACATAGAGATTTGAAAACGAAGAAACGAAAACATGGGATATCTAATATTGGTACATGAGCTGAAATCCAGTTAATAGATGGAAGAAAGGTTGCTTGGATAGACAGAACAGAAAATGGAATTTGCTGATTAGACGGAATTGCTAATTGGAGAAGCTTCATTTCTATGTCATTTGGAAAACACGCCTTCAAGCCACTGTTTCTTAGCTTTTGCTGCACATTTTTTTTAAACTTAATTTGCTGCTAAAATGTTTATAATAGGAACGGTATCTTCAAAGACAATAATGAACATTTAAGTAACGGCGAATGGAATAAAAAATGTATTCAACTTTTCTTTTAATTCAATAGGTTATTTTGACCTACTTGTATAATATCGTGGCAAATAAACAGAAATTTGTTGACCGCAATACTTTTAAAACTTTTTAAGAAATTAATTACTTCGTTAAGTATGAAGAATTTGTATTTATTTTTAATCTTACCAAGTAGTAAACTGAATGAAATTAGAAGGAATTTTTTTTCCCTTTAAAATAAAAGTAAAATCTTCTCGGGGAGGGGTGAGTGTTATTTATTCAAGATGGGCGACTGAAAAAAAGCAGGGTCATTCTTATTTTCAGATGACTGCAAAAATTTGCATTCTTAATATTTTAACTTTTAAAAAAATAGCTTCTAAGCAAAGTAGTGCGTTAAATTAAATTTGTGCAATGGCATCAGGACAATGATATCATTAAAACTCTACAAATAAAATATACTAAACTGAAATTGCAGCTACACGTTTTTCTCATTTATACATTTTTTTCTACGGTTTCTTGAATGATGTTGGTCGACCAGCGGCTGAGCCGTAAAGAAGCTGAACGGCGCATCTTTTACTACCCATTAAATTATATGCATTTTTTGCTGCACTCCATTTAAACTAATTTTTTCTGATAATTCTAACTTAATTAACCGCTCCCTCATGGAAGATTGAAAAATGAATTCAAAAATTGATTTTGAAATTAAACATCCCGCTTAATTTTTGTTATACGAGAGTCAAGCTTATTCTAATTTTATTTTTTTCATAACGAGTATAAACATTTCCCGAACATAAGTATAAGAACCGGGAGACCACATTTAAAGTTAGATTTCGTTATTTGTCCAAAATTAATCTTTTTTTTTTAAATTTCTTTTACCGAAACACGAATATTTTCTTAATTTAAAGTACTTCTGAATTTTCTGAATTTAGAAATATATGACTACCATCAACGACTGCGAAAACAACAGCCGAGTAAGGGGTGGGTGGGTACATATGTATATATAATTTTGGTACTGCCGATTGTAATTAAAAGAACTATACAACTATAGGTGCACAACTATAGGTTACAGCAGTCCCATTTTTTTATTTATTATACAAAATTTTAACGCTCTATGGCTAATCGATTTTTAGTTATGCGAGATACATACCTACGTACAGACGTCATAAAAATACTTTTGAATTTATTTTAAATCCATTTTGCACTCCGTTTTTTTAAAAAAGAGTCCTTTATTCTGTTCTTACGTACAGATGCCAAGCAAAGAAATCGTCCAAATGGATTCGAAAACGGTCAGAATGGATACTTCCGTTGAAATTTGGTACCTGAAATTTTTCGCGATTACAATACTTCCTTTACCAGTACAAGGACGTAAACAAACTCTTAATTTTCTTTAACAAAAGAAAAAAATAGTGTTTCAAATATCGTTGATATCAATGATTTCAAATATCACCGAGATAATCATATATTGTATGAAGAGTCTCTTCACTAATGAATATCTCTTTTATATTGAGAAATTTATTCCACAGAAATTTCAGTAATAATTTTATGCTTTGAAATAATTAACTCTACATGTTTAAACATGAGCATTACAATATGATATAATTAGCATCTGAAATTAGCCTAAAATAAGCTACATACTTTAAGATTCAGTATATTTATAAAAATAAAGCCTAATAATAATTACCTAATAATAATATCCTGCAAAAAATTTTAAATTTACTCAAATAATTATTCTAATAATAATTTTCTGCAAATTATCTATAATAGTATTAAATTATTAATGATTAAATAAGCAGTTTTACATTAGTAAGTATTCAGAAATATAGGATTTAATTAAACATTCGTGGAATGATTTTGATAAATCCAGTGCTCTCGGCCAGGATTAGTTTATGATCAGGGTCTGAATATGAGGAAAATATCTTCGTCTACGTTCATGAACAAGGAGCAGACTATGGCTCCTTGTAGATTATTCCATGCTTCTTACTTCGCTTGCCCATTATAGTCCGTATACAAGTTCAAAATAAGAATGTGACTAAAAGTATTGAATAAATACTAAAGTTTCTAAAAATGCCAGCAGCTACACCGGAATTGAAGCTTGAAACTGCATTTGAAAAGAAAAATTTTAAAAGTTACATACCTCAGCTTCTTGTAATCATGTCAGGTCAGCAATAATATTTTATAACGATTCGGAATTAGATGTGTGGTATTCATATAGGCCTCGATTCTTACGTATTAAGTATTATACAGTGTACATTGCATGCATAAAAAAATATCACAGTAGAAATTATTAAGTTGAATAAAATTGTTGTCAATAAGAGTCAATCGTTGAGCATGTGAAAATCTCAACTTAAAAATGCTTTGTGTTCGCTTTATTTATTTACTGCTAAAGGAAGAGTAATATAATATAAATTTCTCTTACTGTGCAAAATTACATCCAAAAAAGTAGTCAAGTGTTTACAATTTGATATTTATTTTAAAAACTGGCAATATAAAACTGTTTATTTATTTATTTTTTTTTTTTTTTTCAAATTTTCAAACTGAAACTATAAATTGCCATCTATTGATTGATGCGGGTGGGGAGAAGTCAGCTTGAAATGAACATCCAAATTTACTTTTTTGAAAATAGTGATAATTTTTATAACAACAAATTATAAAATTTGGCGAAATATAATTGAGAATAATTAATTGCATTGTTTTTAAATATGACTGATATGTATCATGTCATAAAATCACTTACAGTTATTTAACGACAGGTGATTTTTTTTACATTTATTATTACTGTTTTTAATATTTATTATTAGTGTAACAACTCTCATACTTTGAACTTTATTTCATTATTAAATTTGAAAGCAATTACTTATACCGAAATGGATATTGTCTGTTCAATTTAGAAGAAAATAAAATGCTCATTATGGCATTTTTTCATGATAGTACTCCTTAATTTTCATAGATGTACTAGATTTAATGATATATATAATAATATATATGAAATGTAATATTAATATTTCTTACTCACTTTAACCAACTAGCGACAGAGCGGTAAAGTCGACCTGGATTCGATTCCAGACGAATGGGCTGGAGAATAGCGTTTTCTTGGTTTTCGCCATACATAATGTGTATACGAGCTAGTTTTCCTTAGAATGTCCTCCACGAAGACATCTTTCCCTTAAGCAGATAGCCCTTACGTGCTTTGCCATAATTAAATAAACTAAACCAAAGCAATTGCAATGTATAACGTGGATAGGATCCAGTGTCCCTTAGAAAGTCTTCCACGAAGGCATTCCTCCCTTAGGGATAAACTAAACTAAAGCACTCGCCATGTATAACGTGGAGAGGAACCAGTTACCCTTAGAAAGGCATCCCTCCTTTAGGCAGATAGCCTTAGTGTGTATAGTTGTAATTATAAACGAAACGAAACCGAACTTGCTCATTTTAAATTACGGAACAATTCGCTGCTTAAATTGTAACAAAAATTTATACAAAATTATTTATTGAAAATATTTGTACAATGCTAAAGCATTTATACATTCAACAGTGAAACAAACATATATATATTTATTTATTTACAGTACCATGCATTGTATTAAACAACGAATGAGATCATTGATTGCATCGGGGATTTGGCATAGCGTACATTATATAATGACCAGTCTTTATGATGTACCGCATTTAAGCATATAAGATGGCACTGAAGACGAGAAAGAATTTTTTAAATTAGATTCGAGAGGTTTCCATATAGGTTCTTTCTCTCGAATTGGCGAACCACAATCTTCATCTGATGACGATGACTGCTCATTGGAAGGATAGTAATCCTTGCTTTTCGTATCGCAGTTTGAGTCATCCTCTTGTTTCTGGCGTTTATGCTTTGTCCTTCTATTCTGGAACCACACTTTAACCTGCAGAAAATTAAAAGTTCTTCGTTTTCACAAAAAACTTGGCTTCAATTCAAATTCGTATTACATACATGAGAAAAATTAAAGGATTACATACACGAGAAAAATTAATAGATTACATACATAAGAAAAATTAGTAGAAACAAATGTAAAACTAATCACAGATCAACAATTAAACTTTAAAATAAAACATCCAAAAAGTAATTTTTATTTTTAAATGGCTCAACATGTTGAGAATACCGTATTTCCTCACATATTCCCCCCCTTTTTTTTTAATAATTTTATCGTCTGAAAATCGAGAGGGGAAAATCATCTGAATAATTTAATTTCCGTAGGCCTCGGTTACAGTAAGAGCACAACGAGTGAAAGTAAACATGAATCGCAAAACTATATCTTTAAAAGAAACCTACATTACAATAAGAATACATAGCGATATTAACATTACAATAGCTAGCAAAGTATCTTCACTTCTACTTCCCCCCTGTAACTTGAATCTCGCCCATTGTTAATGTTGTCTCTATTATTTATTAGAAATCAAACCATTCATAAATAATTAAAGAAGGTGAATGTGCAGCTGAGTCAGCGCAATCATAGACTGAGTATCAGTTCGTGTTTATTTCGCTGTGATTAGTTGGTTCTTGTATTAGGCTGACATAAAATTGAGCATTTAGAAGGAAAAGGTTCATCGTGACCTTCGCGAAGGTTTTTCTTTGTTAGTAACACGAAAACGATCAATACGTCGACGAACGCCTTTTAAAATTTAGCGGCTCGTTCTCTAAGTGCAACGAGAAAGGAAAAAACTACCCGAATATTTTAAAAGTTTTACGAATCTGGTGCTAAAAAGCTAGAGGAAAAATACGAGAGGAAATAACGGTAATCTTGGTTGAGCGCACTTGATTGCACTTTCAACCTACTTTGCAAGTAAAGTGGGTTTTAGCAAAACTACTCTCAGAATCCTTCCTAAATAATAGAAACTAAAACGTTTAATAATTTAAAAACAGTGTGAAAATCTATTTATAAAATTCTGTTTCTGTTACATATGATCTAAAATACAAGCATATAACATAAAATAGGTCAAAAGAAATTAGCGACTGCTTACATGCAAGAAATTCTTGTTTCAAATCAAGAACATTGTTGTTCGACTAATACGTGAAGTAACTTCCGTAGAAAATGAATGCAGAATAAATTCTATTTGCAAGTATATATAAAGTTTTACTTTAATACGGGTAAATGAATATATTATGGAAATCAATGACTCGCAACACTAAATTCTAGTTCCATACTGATTGTCAGGCGACTGTCTTACTGAAACATATCTAACTCAGAGGAAAGTTTTAAATAAACCTTTTAATTAAAACGTCAATTTAACAAATGCACACACAATTCGTACTTTACGAAATAACTCACCACTGTTTGCCGCATTTAACCTAATTTACAAAGCACAGTCCTATTAAACTTTGGCTCAGGATTTAAACAATGCGAGCAAAGCGGCTAACAAACGGCTAAACCGACCACACAAGTTTTAAGAACTGGGCGAGCAATATCACCAAAGTCAGTGTCACTGCCTAAATATAAAATAACATCGCTTCCTAAACTCTGCTTTTGTATATAGGTTAGCCCATATACAGGGTGCGGCAGCGTTCATAGTAGGATATTATAAACACAACATAAGGCAGTAACTGTAATTTATTTATTACCTTTCTTATGTCAATTAATAGTTAAAGGTATGCCATTTACTAATGTGTAAGTCATTGTCCATTGTGAGGATTACTTTTTGAATATGATGCCTGTCAAATGATGACCCCTCTGCACAACACATTCATCTAGGCGCCATTGGAAGCTTTGCCATAACTCGGCGTAACGTATTCCCTGGGACACTGCCGACGGCAGTTCTGATGCGATCCTTCAACTCAGGAATGGTGACAAAACGTGTTCAGAAAACTTGTGAAATGTTGTCGAAATAGACGCTGGGTAGCAATAACAGAGTAGTTATTCTTGAAATAACTTTCAACAGCAAAGGCACGATGTTGTGCACTCCATCGATCCATATCACTGTCACACTCGAAATGACAGCTGATTAGTACACGAATGCGGCAGGAGCTGGCTCGCATTCATGTAGTACGTCATTGTACTACGCGAGTCAGATTACGCTATGAAAGCTGCCGCACCCTGTACATTCTGGTAAGAGCTGACGAAAGTAGAAATAATATTATTTTTATTATTTATTATGTGCTTCGCCATTAGGCACTACACGGCAAAGGAGGAAATGCCCCGTGGAGGACTTTTTCAGGGAAAACTGGTTCGTATCCTCATTATACATAAGGAGAACAACGAAAATACCCATGCAAAATACCATGCAGGTTAACAACCCCGGCAAACGAAAATACCGTTTGCCGGGGTTGTTAACCTGGACTGAACTACCAGTATTCAGGAGCTTTTACCACTCTGCCGCTTGTGGGCCAAGTAGAAGTGATACAGATCACAGATCATCAATTTACTGCTAGCTTCAACTACTGTGAGTTTTTACTAGTGGATTTAGTTTATTGCCCTAAGGTAAGGCCAATCACGGTAATTTTTTTAATTGCGCTGCAATCGCACATTACACGCGGAGGCGATGCTGTTATTTTGGCAAAGTCAAGACTTCAAAGCTAAGTTCCTAAATTCACAAACCTCTTATCTGGGAGTGATTCGATCACTGCGCTCTTAAAATTCAGTCTCTAATTCATATATACACTATCTACACAGTCTTTTAGATATGCAGAATGTTGAAACTTGCGATTTCTTGGTCACGTAATGTGAACCAGTTAATGGGAAAGTTTCCGAAATTGGGATTAAATTAATCTTCAAGGCAAAATTTTGTAGAAATTTAACTGTAAGTATTTGAGTCATTTAAATAAATTCATTTTATATTGAAATTTTACTTTCATACTTTGCGTAAATGGAGAAATAATCCTGAAAATTCATTTTTAGGATTGAATTCAGACGTTGGAGGCCGACGAATGGGAAATTAATGTAAGTGAGGTCGCGTGGTGTGATTTGGCTAATAGCGGACTTTCACGCTCAAATTTTGGTAGTAAAATTTTTACAAATACACTAAAATATTGTATAATAATGATAACTAAATAAATGAGGTAAATAATAGTTGATAAGTAACGTTCTTAACCCGCTTTACCAGGTAACTCAAAGTCCATTTTCTGCTTTGTCAGAAGAAATAGAAGTAGAAGAACAAAAAATTTCTATTTATATGTGTACAGATTTACCATCATCAGCGTGAGTTGTGGTGAATCGTTCTAAAGGTAAAAATAATAATAAAATAATTGATTAATTAACGTAAAATCCTTATAACTTTAGATTACATTATTTTCTTATGATCATTTTTTAAGTATTGTCTGCTTAAAAGAAAAAGGACGCATTCGTGGAGGGCTTTCTAAGAGAAACTGGATTATTATTGTAATGGATTTGTATTAAGTGCTGCGAAACTGCGACTAAAGCTGAATTCTCGAAGAGTTTAGCCTACTTATCCTCCACATCATTCAGAAATCTCCTTCCATAATTAGAATGCGAAAGTGCAAGGATGTTATAATCATAAAATAAGATAAAAACCTGAAGATGAGTGATTAACAGTTAGAATAGCTTAGTCGTTATATCATTCAACTGTCGATTGAGAAGCCACAGAGCTTTTAACAAGTAGGTAAAAAAATTCTAGAAAACGCACATTAAGTCAACTCATAGTGGTCTAATGTCGGATCTGAGACAAGCTGTGAGTAAGTTTCACGGATTTTATCCGCCTGATTACTTAATGAGTCAGAAACATTAAGAAAAATGATCCAAACTAGTTTCAAGGAGAAAAAAAAAAACACGGAGAATGCTACAAGCCTTAAAATGCTGTTTGCTGCTTGTTTGTTTTAAAGGGGTCTTCAGGTGTGCAAGTGTATATATATGTACACATGTGTTATACGTATTCACGTAGAGAGATAAGTAGATAAGAGAGGCTGATAGATAAAAATAATAAGTGAATACTTCAGAAAAGAAGTATAAATAAACCATCACAAGTCTACGCAACGAATCGAAAGGAATATTCTTCCAAGAAAATGTAATTGTAAAATATGCCTATAAAATTGAAATAATGTTATTAATAACAACTAAAAAGGTAATAATAATGCAGCTTAAAGCGTCCAATGAAAGAAAATGAAGCTGCATAGTCAAAATAAAGCTATAGAGCAGAAATAGTTAATATACACTTTATAGTAAGATATTCTCATAAATTTTAGTTGTCTTAAGATGAGGTATACCAGTTTTCTTATTTTTCTCACATTTCATCAATTAATGTATATTTTCATGTAAATGGCATTTGTAGAAATAATAATTACCCTCATACAATTTATTCTACTTATAAGAAGCATAAAAGTATCAATGCAAACCAAGAATCTGTAAAAATAAACAATGATTTGCCTATATATAATGTGTTTTAAAATGTACTTGTGCAAAATCAACATTTTGCGAAAGTACCGATTATTGCGCAAATACCGTTTGCGCAATTTCTCGATACAATCTCACTTATATCGCAAACGCGCGCAACAGCCAGATTTTAAGCTCTGCATTACTTTGCCATTAATGCTTAACTTAAGCATTATTTAGGTAGGACTTTCCTTTGCACTTTGAAAAGGAAATAGGCAGGTTTTGAAAAGAAATTGATATTGAAATAATTCATGCACAGCAAACGAGTTGCCTACTGAAAACTGAATAACCTTTCGATTCACTCAACACAGGTAGAAAATTTCATCTTCCCTGTATATAATTTAAAAAATAAATTATTACATTATATCTGAACGGTTTTATTAATCGATATGATCTGCTTTCATTATTCCACAAGGTTAATACATTTTACTTTATATTAAGCCGGAAACAAAAGCTACGAATACTTGGAGGGGGGGAATTCTTTCTTGCACAGTTAACAATAAAAAAGGAAAGGAAAGAAAACGTGACCTACGTTCAAAACACTC